CACCCTAGGGACTTAGTCACCTGGTCACACCTCACTGCACAGGTATGTTGGAAGTATGGTTGCTCACTGCTGTAGAAAGGGGGGATGGATTTTGTGGATATCTTAGGCCAGTTGGGCTGCTGAAACACAATATCTGGTGTCTTATAAACAACAAATATTTATTTCTCATAGTTCTGGAGCTGCAAGTCCAAGATCAAGGTTATCAGCATATTCAATGTCTATTAATTAGATTTTTGAGGAACTAATAGGACCAAAGAAACCATGTCAAGCATTAATAGAGTTTGTGTCTGGAACTTAAGATAACCCTTCATCTCTAACCTCTTACAGGCTGGAAGCAGGATGGGGAAAGTGCTCAGCCCCCTAAGGGAGGCAGATTCCTGTTGCCCACCACCACCGCCCCCTACTCCCAGGGCAGCCAAGGAGGATGATGGTGGAGGGGGAGCCCCTCAAAGTGGAGGAGCACCCCATGGTGACCTGGCCTCCCAGGGAACGGGGCTGGATTGTTCACACACTCACTCCAGGATGAAGGGCAAAATTTGCCCAGCAGTGTTCAGAATCACTGTGAACACTGTCTGCTGGGGTTGCCCCCTCCTCCCCTTTCTGAATTGGTCTGTTTGTTGTGTATTCTGTCCCTTTCCATCACTGCACACTGGGATTGTGTATTGGGGCTGGGGGTGGGGTGCAGCAGCCTACAGAGGTAATGGATCTCCAGCAGATGCTTGAATCTCTGTCTTCCTGCCTGTCTCTGATCTCTGGGTCAGGATTTATAAGGTTTCCCACCAGGGGAGGGGGACAGTGTATTTTGTGTACGGAAAAGAAGGCATGAGGGACACTCTGGGTCCCTCTGCCATGGCAACCAGCATGTTCTAGACAGAGGCTGCTCCGTCAACTTGAGTGTCCCCAGGCAACTCACGAAGGAAGTGTAGCATTGCCAGAAATTAACATTTGAGATTTATAGGCAGTCTTTCTTGCAGCATGACCCAGCTTCTCCTGACAGGTACATGGATCTTGCCTACTTCACCTCCTCAAGAAGTGTCCATGGAGCTTCTGCCCTGCTCCAGCCTGGCCTAGTGGCTCTATGCCCCTCTCTTTCCTCCTGTGTTGAATGCCTCTTTCCTGTATCACACGCCTCCTTCTTTCTTGGTTGGCTTCTTTATTTTGGTGAAATAAAAATTTGAGACCTCATTCATCTCAAAGTACTTGATTTATACTTTTGCTGGGTGATGACTGGAGAATAATTTTTCTTTAGATCCCCAAGGCTTTGCCCCTCACCTTCTGACTCCTGACCATCTATCTGTAACCTGCTTCTAATGTCAGGACACTTTTGTCCCCATTATCCTGCACTTCAACTGTGATAAGCCTTTGGGAAGAACTATTTTTTCCCTGTTGAGCTTCTTGTGGGTCTTTCAACACACGCTCTTGAGTTTGGGAGATTTTTTAAAAGACGAATTCATTGATGATTTCTTCCCTTCCACCCCCGCCCCTGTGTTTCTCTGATCACTCTTTTGGGATTCCTATTATTTCATTAATGGACTTTCTGGATGGTCCACCTTTGTTTTTTCTCTCCTGTTTCCCATTTTGGAGGTTTCTTTTTGTTTTGCTTTCACAGAGATTTCCTCAACTTTATCTTCCAATCTCTCCTGGCAGTATTTTTTAATTTTGCATGTGCAGTTGCTAAGTCATGTCTGACTCTTTTAAGACCTCACAGACTGTAGCCCACCAGACTCTTCTGTCCACAGGCTTCTTCAGGCAAGAATGCTGGAGTGGGTTGCCATTTCTTCCTCCAGGGAATCTTCCTGATCCAGGGATGAAACCTGTGTCTCCTGCACTGGCAGGCAGATTCTTTATCACTGAGCCACCTGGGAAGCCCTTTATTTCCACTACTTCAAATTTCCATGAATGCTTTTTGTTTGTTCACCAAAAATTTCTTTATACATGGCCTCCCTTCATGGGTTGCCATATTTTCTTTAGTTACTCTGACGACATGACTTCGATTGATGATTACATTGCCGTGTACTTCTCTCTGCACAGTCTCTGTTTCCTCCAAGATGCTGTTAAAAAATCTATTGGGGCTTTAGATTTCATGACACAGGATTTCCTGAGATGCTGGATCAGCTTTGGCCACCTGTGAAAGCTGGATTAGAGACTCTGTATCTGTGGGGGCTCGGGAAGTGCAGCCTTCCGTGGAGTGTGTTCTGGTGGGTGGTTCCACTGGACAGCTGCAGATGTAAGGAAACTAAGGTGTTCCCCTTGGCCTATTTTAATGCCCCAGAAAGACCCTTCTAGTCTCTTGGCTGCCTGCATTCTGAAAATCCAGAAGGGAAGCTGGAACATGGTCTCAGCATCTAATATCTACGGGTTCATTTAACTCCTCTGTTCCTATTATAGCACCTCTGTCCTTCACTGTGCATGGTATCTCTCAGCCCAAGATGCTTCCATTTACCTTATTTATATTAGTATTATTATGTCTAATTTGATCATGCCAGGCAGCATGTGGAATCTTAGTTCCCTGAACAGTGATTGAACCCATGACCCCAGTATTGGAAGCACAGAGTTTTAACTGCTGTACCACCAGGGAAGTCCCCTTTAACCTTCTTTAGATGACAGACATCCCATTTTTGGTCAGGATGGGGAAGGCAGCACAGATCTGCTGAGACAGTCTGGATGCTTCTTAAGCAGTTCAGTTCAGTTCAGTCACTCAGTCATGTCCGACTCGTTGCAACCCCATGAACCGCATCAAGCCAGGCCTCCTGTCCATCAACAACTCCCGCAGACTTTCAGCCAATTACTATCTTAGCCCTCATTTAAACCCTCATCCAGAGGTGCCTAGTGCCATCCATTGGTGGACCTACTGGGGACTCCAGAGTTTTTTTTCTTGGCTCCCCACACCCTATCCCACCCCTATACCATTTCAAGACTTAATTTTCTCAGGTCTGTACAGTATTCCAGCTTCAACAACTGTGTTGCAGTTACTTGTTCCCTTGCTTGCCCTATTCTTGCCAATTTCTTTCTGACAACAGGCAAACACTGCTATGAAAGGAGGTTCCACAAGTCAGAGTCAACACACACCATCCATCCACCATCTCCAGTGGAAATCTCAACCTTCTTTCCAGCCCAGCCTCTCCACTCTCCAGACACATCCCCATTCACTTGTTCTGGGCTGATCTTTCCCACCCTGAACTGTGTGCTCAGTCCTGTCTGACTCTTTGCGACCCCATGGACCATATACCCCACCAGGCTCCTCTGTCCATGAGATTTTCCAGGCAAGAATACTGGAGTGGGTTGCCATTTCCTCCTCCAGGGGATCTTCCCAACCCAGAGATTGAACCTCGGTCTCCTGCAGCTCGTTTTTGTTTATTCCATTCCTTCCATCTGACACTTGATTCCCACCCACCCTCAGACATACAAAAGCCACATCTGTCAAAATCTGATGAAGCAAGAATAACACAGGCCAGTAGTTATAAGATTTTCCTCTGAGGAAGAGAATGTATGTATCTGGAAGACACTCCCATGTGGGGCTGGGATGAGGGTTGCTGGGCCCCAGGACCTCCTTCTATGAACAACCGTTAAAGGCCTGAGAAGCAGGCCAAGGGTGTGAGTTTTGCGCCCAGGATGCCCTGAGAGTGCAGCCAAAACACTCAGGGAGGCTGCATCCATGCAGAGACCTGGGGACTGGTCTGGGCTGTGGATGGGGGTGGGGTGTGTGCCTGCCGAGGACCCTTGACCCAGGCCTACCTCCCTCACCCAGAGCAGAGGATGGTCAGTTGTAGCCCAATGCCTAGAAGGGTGCCTACTCCTAAGAGGCCTGCCAGGGTGTACCCAGTCTGGGCTGTGTCAAGTGGGGTCATGGAGCTAGTGGTACCTTGTAGATTTAGCAGAATCCTGCTTGTTGGACAGAGTGGGGATGGGGGTGGATGGCTGGTAAGTTAGCACAGGGCCAGCTCCATCCTTAATGAAGTAACTGAGTGTGACATGTGGTGAGATTGCAGGAACATTCTGAACCATTATTTGGTCAGAACACAAATCTCTTAAATGTCATCAACACAATTTGGCTGGGAGAAGAGGGATTACTGCCTGCCAGTAGGAGACCCTCTTAGAGGAGGAGTCTGACCCAGTGGCCCAGTACAGAGCCCCACCCCTGCAGAGCACACTGTGTGGTCTTCGCAGGGGGCCCCACTGACTCCACCAGTGAGCTGGAACTTTAGGGTTTTAATCACAGATTCCCAGGGTGCTCAGACGTCCACACCAGTTTATAGGTCACCACAACATGCAACCCAAAACGCGTTCGTCCTTGGTGACCTGTAAAGTCTTTTCTACCCAGGCCCCAAGATAATTTGGTGTGAAATGGCTGCTCTTAATTTTGTGCGCCGAACGACTCTGTCTCATCCACCCCTCTTCTCTGGTCCGAGGGATCCAGTGCCTGGGCTGCCTTCCTTCCACTCTCCCCGCGCGGGCAGCTAACACATTTGAATGGCGATTAAGGGCTGTAAACCACTGCCGGTCTCTCCGGGCCAGGGGCTTGCTGCGCTCGGCTTCAGCCTCTAACCTCTATGCTGATGGCCTAGGCCTGGAGAAGGGCGGTGGGGTGGCCTCGGAGACAGGAGGGTGAGCGCGCCGGGGAGAACCAAGGGCAAGTGGGCGGGGCAGGGCAGGGAGCGTTTCCTCAGAGAGGCCAGGCAGTGGGTGGGCGGGGCCCGCGCAGTCTGTGGCGTCGGAAGCCTTCCCGGCCGGGTGGGAGAGGAGCAGCCTGGAGAAGTTGGCAGCGGGCCTGGGGAGGGGAGGCAGAGGAAGGGGCCCCGCGTTCCATGAGCAGCGGCGCCGGCGCCCCGGCACGTAGTTCACTCCTGCGAGCATGGGACGCGGTGGGCACGTCACCCGCCCTGCCAGGCTAACCACCAGCCTTGTGCCAGTCCGCCTCCGGTTGACCCAGGCTCAAGGGCAGTGCGGCCGGGCCCAGTTCCCGGCTGCCCGGGACGACCGGGAGCTCTGGGTCCCTCCCGTCAGTGCAGCCCCTGCCCCACCCTAGACCCTGCTGGGCCGCGCCGAGCACCGGGCTCGGCAGGGGAGGAGTTTACAGCGGGCGAGCGGCCTGAGTCTCGGGGCGCGGCCGCCCAGGAACCCAGCTTCGGCGGGGTGCGGCGGGGTTGTTCCAAGCTGGCCGGAGCGGACACGCCTCCTCGCTGGTCACCTCGCTTGGGAGGGGAAAGGGAGAAGTGGAGGCGAGCCCCGCAGGGCGCGCCCACCCGGCGCACGGCAGAGGCGGGGCGGGAGGGACAAAGGGGCGCCCTCCTGAGCGCTCCGCGCCGGGGTTCAAGGCTGTCACGGTACAAAAGCTCCAGCAGGAAAATACCCCGCGGGGTCCCAGCCGCGGAAGGGTGGGGGAGAGACCCGCGCGGCCACGCCCCGGCCTGCCGCCCTCGGACGTGGTGCGTCAGCGTGCCCGGCTCACGGCTCTAATTTCCGCCCCTCCTCCCGCACGCCAAGGGGACACGCCCATTGGCACGCGCAGGCCCCAGGCCGAGTGGGAGTCTCTCACTGTGAGGATTGGCCGGGCCGCGTACCCGCGAACCAATAGCGCCTGTCTTTGTCCTCGGCCACGCCCCTTCCCCAGAGGCGGGCGCGCGACCGCTCCATCCCGCCGGTGCGCGCTCCGGGATCCCCGCCCCCTCCGCGTGCGCGGCTCCCCGCGGCCGCCGCCGCCGCCTGTAACCTGCGCCGCCAGGATGTGGCTGGGGGCTGACGTCGGGTCCAGATGTGGCCCCGGCCCCGCCCACCCCCGGGGCCGGGCCGCCCACACCGAGCCGCGGCGCGCACGGCTGCTGTCCCGCCTGCCACAATGCGCGGCGAGGCTGCGGCCGCGACTTGGCGCGGTTGTCCCTAACGTCGCCGCTCGGCATCCTTAGGACAGGCCGCCCCTGACGTCGCGCGGGGATCCCACTCGCCCGCGCCCCCCATGCGTTCACTCTTCGGAGCCCAGCCGGGCGGGCGCCTAGCAGACGCGGAGCCGCGCGGGTGACGGCAGAGGCGGCTGCGCGCCCAGCCCAGCCCGCGGAGAGGGCGCGCCTCGCCCCCGCCCCCCACCCGCTCTCCGGAGGCCGTGGGTGCGGATGCGCCGCTGACGACTCGCAGCGACCAGCAGTGCCGCCCGTCCGCCGGCTGGATCCCGCAGCATGGCAGCCGCCGCCTATGTGGACCACTTCGCCGCCGAGTGCCTCGTGTCCATGTCGAACCGCGCGGTCGTGCACGGGCCGCGGGAGGGGCCGGAGCCCGGACCCGAGGGCGCGGCCGCTGTTGCCGCCACGCTGCCCCGCGTCGAAGAACGCCGCGACGGCAAGGACAGTGCCTCCCTCTTCGTAGTGGCGCGGATCCTAGCGGACCTTAACCAGCAAGCTCCGGCGCCCGCCCCAGCGGAGCGCAGAGAAGGCGCCGCGGCCCGGAAGGCGAGGACCCCCTGCCGCCTGCCGCCCGCGCCGCCACCCGCCCCCGAGCCCGCCTCCCCCGGCGCCAGTGGCGCGGCGGCCGCGCCCCTCAGCCCGGCGTGGAGCGAGCCCGAGCCCGAACCCGAGGCGGGGCTGGAGCCCGAGCGAGAGCCGGGGCCCGCGGGGAGCGGCGAGCCCGGCCTCAGACAAAGGGGCCGGCGGGGCCGAAGTCGCACCGACCTCGAGTCCCCGCAGAGAAAGCACAAGTGTCACTACGCGGGCTGCGAGAAAGTTTACGGGAAATCCTCGCACCTCAAGGCGCACCTGAGAACTCACACAGGTCAGTGGGGCGGCCCGGGAGCCCCCAGCAAGCGACCCGGGGCCAGTGCTAGTCTCCCGGCCACGCCCCCGGAGCCGCCAGCTGGGTGCGAGGGCGATCGGGCCGGGAACGGTCGGGGCCTCGCCCCTTTCCCCGCGGCTCCGGGCTGCGGGCGACCCTGCGCGCCGCGCGAGGCGGGTCCGTGCGCTGGGAGCCGGCGCCCGCCCGGCGACCGCGCCCCCGCCGGGCACGCCCCCTCCTCCGGCGCGCTCGGGCGGGGCCGCGGGGGCGAGTGTCGTCATCGGGCCCGGGGGCGGGGACCCCGCCCAGGCCCGGGGGCGCGCGGGCAGGTGCGGGCGAGCTGGGTGGGGGTCGCGAGTGGCACCCGGGGAGATTGGCGTCCCGGACGCCCGGGAGCCATGGGGAACGAGTGTCCTCGCCCGGCCCCTCCCCCGCCGGTCGGGCGCGCGCTCAGCAGGGGCGGGCCCGGCCCGGGTGCACAGCGGGCGAAGTTCACGCGGGGACAGGGCTTTCTCCAGCCACTCGGCACATTCTTCGCTCTCCTCTTCCTGTAATTTTTCCAGCGCTCTAAGGTTTAATTTGTCGAAACCGGAGCCAGCGGCTGCCGACGCTGGGGGTGGGGGGGCGGTCCCGGGTTCTCGCCCGGGGCTCTTTGTGGGAGCCCCGCCCATCCGGCCGGCGGGGGCGCGCCGGACCCGAGGAGCTCCTTGGGGCCTCGGCGCTTTCTCCCTAAAGGAGCGCCCTGCCTTCTGGCCGCAGATCTGCGCCGCTTTCCTCCTGGCCTCGCTCTCACCTGCCGGGGCCGGATGCGGGCGAGCAGCACCTGCACGGGGGCGGGCGGCGGGAGTCGACATTCTGGGAGCCCCGGACCGCCGCCCGCCCCCCACCTCAGGGCAGCATTTTCCTCTCGCGGGCCCAGGACTTTGTCGTACATTTCTCTGTGGTTGTTTTTTGTCTTTAAACACAAAAGTAGAAACAGTCTTTCAATGGATGGCATGCCTTCTGTCCCAGTTTGGTTAAAGAATTGTGTATTTCCTCCGAGCCCACGCGAACTCTTATGGACACAAGTCTTCCACTTTGGGGACCGGTTCAAAACTCGCATACCGTTAACTTTGTTTCAAAAGTTGAGGCGTCTCATTTGTCAAAGAGTTCACAAGCTGATTAAATAAATGACTGATTTAAAAGCCGCAGTTTTCAAGAACCTAGAACTGAAAAGCTTTTTAATTCTGATAAATTTGTAAATGAAACGCCCCATGGTCTGCAGGTGTCAGGAACCGCGGATCTCACGAACTGCATCCCCGACGCCGGCCCCGCATTTCTGGTCCCGCGCTGTGGCCGCTCAAACCGCTTGGCAGGTGGTGGGGTCGCGGGTGAAGGCGGGGCCATTTCTAGGCTGAGTCAGAATTCGGGCTGTATGGACTCGGGGGGGTGGGGACGTTGCTGCAAGAGTGGGTGTGGTCGTGGGGGAGGGGCCACGCTGGATTCTGAGCGAGGTGTACCCCGCCCCCCAGTAGCGGGGCCGCGTTTGGTTTGTGGCTGGAGTTGAGCACTCGGTTGAGAGCCAGGTCAGTACCGAGCAGGGGACTGTATTGGAAAAGCTTTCTGAATCCTGTGTTACTGTGGCCTCCCAACCGGGTAAAGAGTCTGCCTGCAGTGCGGGAGACCCGGGTTCGATCCCTGGATCGGGAAGATCCCTTGGAGAAGGAAATGGCAACTCACTCCAGTATTCTTGTCTGGAAAATCCCATGGACGGAGGAGCCTGGTCAGCTACAGTCCATGGGGTCGCAAACAATCGGATGCGACTGAGCGACCTCTTTCTTTCTTTCCTAACCCGGCAGCACCCGGTAGCCAGATTCGCGAATTGCGGAGGGACCAGCCCCGGGGCGGGGCTGGCCCGGGCCTCCGGCTGGGGCTGCCTTCCGGATTGCCTCAACTCCCCTGCTCCAGGCTGCCTGTGCCCTGAGCGGCATGGGGCAAGATGGCTAGACGTTTAGGGCAGGGGCGTTGGGAACCCGCGCCTTCGCAGTGGGGCGGAAGCCAGAACAGGGTGAATCCATTCTTTGGCCTGCAGTGTGCTAGTCTGTTCATTCTTAGAGCAGGGAGCCGGCCCAGCCTTCCAGGTGTGTAGGAACTCGAATCTCTGCCTCCAGAGCAGATCGCCAAGTCTGGAGTGCACAGGGTCCCTTGGGGCCCTTGGAAATGTAGGTTCCCAGGTCCGAGATGCTGACTGCAGTTTAAGGGGTCCCTTCAGGTGCATCTGCTTATGAACTAATGGTCTACCTGTGGCCCAGGGCACCTTCAGGAAGCCTGAGCCCAGGTGTGCAGTGCATAAGTAACTGGTGATCATAGAGGGTATAGGGGCAGCCCACAGAAGGGAGAGGCTAGGAAAGCGCTGGCTTTAAGGGCTGACCCAGAGGCGATTTGCGAAGACCCCGGAGGCAGACCCTGTTTGTGGGCTCCCAGAGTGTTCTGGTGGGGAGGGTCTCTGCAGGCAGTGACTCAGGTCATGCCAGGCCTTTCAAACTGTTAGGGACACCCCCCCTGCCCCCCCCCCCACATAGTGATTGTATGGTGGGGGGGTGTGAATACTAATATGATTTTAGCCAAGGAGGCAGTTGGAAGCTTGTTTTGCCTAGCTCTGTGACCAGGGACTGATTCCCATGCCTCCCTTGACCACCTGGAAGGTCTGCAGGAAATGGGTGTGCATATGTGAAAATCCTTTGGGAGGTCCTGAGGTCAGCTTTGACTTCGATCTCCCACCCCCACCAACTGCATGCAAAGAGCCACCTGTCCTGGTTAGCTGTGTAGCAGTGTGGTCCCCTGTTAAATCCCCCACTGGTCATCCTCGGGACTGATGACCCTCTGTCACCTTTAGGTAACTGGTGTTAGAGCACGCGTGTGATAGAATAAAACACACGATCATGTTTACAACTGAATCCCCTTACTGTTTGGTTGATCATAACTTCCCAGCCCAGACCTGGGAAGTTTGCCTAACCTCGCTCTGGGGACTCCCTAGACCAGGAGCAGATTTTCTTGGAGGCTGAAGGGCTTTGATTTGAAAATTCAAGGACTTGGAGAAGGGAAGCACTGGATCCCTCTGAGGACACTCCTAAGCCCCCCTACCTGGCAAAATCCCACATGTAAGGGTTCCTGCCTGCTGGGCTTGGTGGAGCTCTGGCAGAGTGGGCCCAGGCTTTCTTGGCAGACACATCCCGGATCCATTCTTCCCTGTGGGTTCTCACAAACAATTGTTTTCAGATCACCTTTGTACCCTATTCGCCCTCCAGCTCCAGCAGCCAGAACCTCTCCTTGCACCCTGGGCTGGGCTGTCTCAGCAGGTCTGGGGGTGGAAAGGTGGATCCAGCCCCACCTCCTGTGGTCCTGGAGTTAATTGCTCCTGCGCACCTGCCCTGTGTGGTGTGGAAAGTAGAGAAGGTTGCATTGTCTCAGCCATTTCCTGTGATCACTTGGGGCAGGGTTTGTTTAAAATTTATCTTGACCCCTGAACAAGGGATTTGATCCCCAGGATGGTTATGGGGGCCAGGATTTATTCCTAACTCTCCCCCGACTCGAGCTCTGGCATTAGAACCTGGTGTTCCAAGCACACTGCCCGCCTAGACCCCTGGCAGGTGCTCCCCAGGCAGCTGTGTTGGGAAGGCAGCCGTCAGCGTGGAGGGTAGCTGCCAGGATCTCCTTCACCCAGAGCAAGCCGCGCTGGCAGAGGGCCAGCACTTTGTCTGGGCCACAGCCAGGCCAGAGTCTCCCGCCCCTGCTCCCCCACAGTCCTAGCCTGCCAGTCGGCCTGGTTGTGAAACTCTTCAAACAATGCAGAAGTGTGCAGGCTGAATTCACGAGCCCTCCCCTCCCCCAGTTAGCCACTGTTACTCTATGTTATAGATACATCTTTCTCCAGATTCTTTTAATGCATTTTTGTGTGTACACACATGCGTGTTTATCCACGGAGTAGGTGATTTAAAAACACACATGTAGGATCCACAGAACACATCCAGTCAAGGCTTTTGTCCTGTGTGTTTGCTTAGGGAGGCAGCTTCATTCTTTTTCCTGGCTGCCTCATACTCCAGGGTGCAGCTCTGTGGTGGTACTGTCAGTCACCCAGCCTCTTACCTGCTTCAGGCTC